CTCACCATTTTGTGTGGTGCCTTTAGCATCATGTAAAACATCAGTCGGGCGGCTTTGGAGTTTGTACCACCTTCCCGATAAGTGGCAGAGAAAATAAATTCATTAAGAGACAAGGAAAAGTATGATGGTTATCGTATTACAAAAGTGTCCTAAAGCAAATAATAAAATGATGTTTTACGAACAATTTCATATGTTAAACTTATTGAGTCTGATCAAGAACAAAGATTATTGTTTACAAATGTCTCACTATTAAGTATACACTTAAATAATAAGTTCAAGAAATATGTAATACAAGGAATGTAACCTAAAAAGGTTAAATTCATGAGAACTTTCTTGGGAGAGGAATTGGTCTTGAGTCACCGACACCAATGCAAGTATGTAGGTACTCAATAGAGAGTGGGTTAACTAAATGTGATCAAAGAGTTCTCTTGCACATCTTACATGAGAACTCCTAGTTGGTATAGTGCAAGTAGTCTTTTGGCTTGAAACACCACAGTTATAGTATGTTTTTTATTCATTTAACAATGCAACAAAGATCATGCTTCGTTGAGAACATTGACCTATCCACAGAGACATGCAAGTGTGCAATAATGGATCTCTAACCTTCAACCATAGAAGGAGAAGACTCTGTAATATGATTCAGGAGTCATTTGTCAAAGCACATGAATGTGATTTAGGAAATATGTTCTAAATCACATTTACAAGAATCACGTGGATAAGAGAATCATATTGGATGGCAGGCAAGAATAATTATCAACAAAACTATTTAATCAAGAGTATTGATTTAGAGAAAAACTATGTTGCACTGCAATTCCAACTAAATAGGTTATCTGCCTCTTCTAGTTAGCTAGGGTAGCTATGACACGCAACTAAGTCTTAATCATAACTTGTAGAAGCTTTGAGGATTAACTATCATTAATCACCCTTATTTGAAAAAAAATAAAATAAAAGAAGGATTTAACTAATAATCAATTAGTAAGAGTTCTAATAACCAACTGCCTTACTAATTAGAACCTTATGGATCGTATACCGCAAGTAAGGTAGAGATTGAAGAAACTTCACAGAAATAATTTCTTGTTTAATATTAGGATTGATTAGTAAGTTAATTAATCAAACAAATAAGTTCAAATTGGATTTTTAAAAAGTTTTGGGTTTCATGACCCAATGGGCTAGTAGTTTTCACTCAATTGCAAGGACTATACAGGAGTTGTAGCCTTCATTAGGGCTTTGTTTTGGTGAAATAGAAGCACCAGTCTAGCTTCCCTCTACGGGGCCATTCACTTAGGGAGGATTTTGCTAGCACCAGATCCTTCCCAAGTCGCCCGTCTACTCTTCACATGTTTTTTGGTGACTTAGAGGTCCCATTCTTTTCGAACTGTGAGATCCAATTCAAATCAAGCAAAGGAAGTAAGGATTGAAGGCCCTCACATACTCACATACTCGTAGATTTGATATCAACAATAAAGAATAAATAGATGTGTTTTTAATATTTTAAGCTCAACCATGGTCACTGCCCTTCTCATTAGAAATTTGAATCCCTTTAGGCCTCGAAATGCACCAGCCCAAATGTGTCAAGAATTTCTCAAAGTTTTTCCATTCATCAAACCATCGAGTTAGTTTATTGGGCCTTGACCAATTGCGTTTGGCCCAAGTCCCATGCAAAATTGGGACATCAGATGATATATCTCCCATTATTTTTCAAATTTTTTGTCTCTCATCTCCAACCCTCTATGGTCTTAATTATTTGGAGTTCGCAAATATTTGGCAATTTGGTAAAACATTATTGCTACTCTCCCTTTTTTTTTTTTTTTTTTTTTTTTTTTTTTTTTTTCTGTTGTTTGAATTGGGTTGTGGTTATATACAGAGAAAATCTTAGTATTTTGCAAGGTTTTAAAAAACACTAGGCGCTAGTCAGGCAGCGAGCTGGGGCCTAGCGCCTAGTTGGCTAGGCAAGGTTTAAGCGGGCACCTAGGCGGATTTAATTAAATCTATTATATTTCGTGTAAATAAGTGTCTATTTATACTTAAAATATATATAATTTCATCATAAACTACAAAATAGAATAACATATATGTTATGAGCTATTGGAACATAATGAAAACATGGGAAACAAGCATATAATATGTGTTCATTTAAGTATTCAACAAGTCTCTTACAATTTATTGGAAAAATAAAATGCAAAATGAAAGTTATCTATTTTCTGTCTAAGTGAGTCGTAACCTAGGTGGGCCTTGGCATGCTAGGCGGGTGTCTCAGTAGGTCTAGGCACCATTTCTTAATTTTCAAACGCCTAGGCATTAATTGGGACGGTGACCAGCCGCCTAGCGTCGAGCGCCTATGCGAGGATTTTTAGAACAGTGGTATTTTGCACCTCATTTTTCGTGTCAATAACAGATAAAACTATTGACCAAAAGAATAAAATATAAGCAAATAAACCTAATTAACTTCTACCATACCATTGTATGTAGTCCAATATCCTAGTGTACAGGGTGTTAAGTTTTTACTCATTGCGTTCCATGTCTGAAACTTCTCTCTAAATTATTGTGAATTGTAATAGTTTTGAACTATCACCCTTCCTTTTAATAATAGTATGTAAAAAGGAAAAAAAGAAAAGAAAAGAAAAAAAAAACTACGCTATATCATGCATGAAAATCAGACCAATTGGATAAGGTTGGCATTGGCAATTTGTTGGCCCGAATTAGAACTGGTTAAGCTGTGTTTCCGGCTGGCAATACCCTAATCCCAATACCAAAGTAACAAAAATAACATTTGGTTGTTATTTTTCCAACCACAATGAGTTTGCCTCCAGAAAAACTAACTCCCAAAAAACATTGTATATCTTAATCTCTTTGTCTCTCGTCTCCCTAATCCATCACTAACATGTTGTGATGGTAGAACCCTTCGTATCTCCATCCCCACCCATTCTGCCTCATATGCAAGCTTAGCCTGAAGGCTGTAGGGTTTCACATATATATATATATATATACATATATACATATATATACACTGTAAAACCATGAGCCTTAATTGCCTATCATGCCAGGTCAGGCAGAGAACAACCTCCTCCGGCGACAGGGATCATGCGAGCAAGGAGAAAGCTTATCGGAAACTCTGTTGCGTAAACATCAATATCGACAGAAGCTGGTCCGGGAACTTAACTTCACCACCTTACGATCAGATTGAAAACTCATCTATCTTCGTGCTGGAGAAGAAGAAGGGGAAGAAGGGGCCCGGTCATCGCCGGCTTATGACTACAGGCGGAGTTGCATATGAAGGGAGCACTGAACCGCGCCTGGTCAGGAGCTCCGGAATGAGAAGGGATTGGAGCTTTGAGAATTTGTCGCTCCTCAGAAATGAGAAGAAAGGGAGAAACTCATAAATTATAATTCGCATTAGTTAAATTTTTAATGTTTTCTTTGTGTTATTTGTTTATTTATTTTCCGAGTTGTGTTTTTATCTTCTAATTCCTCATTCAAATGTACATGTTGGTTATTCCTATATATTCTAATTAAAAAGGAGAAAAGCAAAGTGAGGATCAATTTCTTTCGGGGTAGGGTTCCTAGTATTCAAACATTTCTGTGTGTGTTTGAGACATTGCCCCAAGTGGTCAGAAATGTAAGAAAATGAGCTAGGATTTTGGAAATAGGGTTCTATCCGTACGGACGTAACAAAGAAATAAAAAGAATAACATAATGACAGCACTAGTTAATGAATACGATTCTCTCATCTGTATTTCCTGCTTGTTTTATTCACTGTTGATTTATTAAACCATATGACAAGAAACAAGATGGGGAGTGTAAGGCGATCCAATCGAATCCATATGAATTCACAGTAAGTTATCTAACTTATTCTTATAGACGGTTTACACGTCTTATCATCCCTGCCAATCCAATCATATTCTTAAAGCCCAATCTCATCCAGCTCACCAATCGGACCAATAAAATTTTGTAACCCGTCGCTGTAACCACTAAACCATTATCACCTTTTAAGTTGTTCTAAACTTACAAAATATTTTGGAAAGCTACTACTACTGCATAACACCATTTCTCCGAATCAATGCTGCTTCTGTCAATTGAACCCGTTGCTAGAACCATTTGATTCGAGAGGAATCATGGACGAATGTTGATTTAGATTCGATACAGGATCGACAACAATTCAAATAGATCTTTTCTTTTAGGATTGAAAGCAGACACTCTAGCGACTCCGCCAGCGAACCATCAACATGCACATATGCACAGACGATTCACATGAAACAAATTTAGATGCAATTCAAGATACATGACGTTTTGAAGAAGCGAACATTCATTCAATCCTCACAGATGAAACATTTGGGGGAATTCTGTACGTACTTCATGACCAGTAACCATACATTACGATGAGTTTGACAAGTTTCCTGGTTTTCTAACTAAAAAGGTAACAAGGTTCAAGACTCTTTCTCCGTCATTGCTAGCTTCCGCATATGCAACTCAGTAATCAACTAACTTAGACTCTACGCTTCCTGTTTCCTCGTCCCTTTTATGCCAGTAATCAACTTACCTGAAGATTCAGACATGAAACCCGCTAAGTAACATACCATACAATTGGAATGGTTAGGACTCCTCTGCCATCTGCTTTAGATTTTCTTTTTTCTTGCATCGGCTTTCCAATCTCTTCGACCAAAGTTAGATACATGCATTTCGCGGTTACTCTGGTTCACAGTTATCTCAGACAGGGATTCAAATTCTAATTGTGGCTCTGCCTTAGGTCCAGACAAGAACACACTTTGACCCTCACTGGTTGACGTAAGAGTAGGGGCAGCATAACCGTTACGGGTAATTTCAGGGGCCTTAAAAACATGAGCCCTCCTTGCATCCTTTTTCCAATCTCGTTTACAGTACACACGGGGTGTGTAAATGAACTCATTTCGTTGCACTTCTACTTCTGCTGCAGTTGGTTGCTTTATGATGCTAGACTTCTTCAAATCTGCTTCAAGACGCTTACGGGCTCTATATCTACGTTGTCGTTCTCTGTTCTTCATGCGACGAGTCTGAACATCATTACGATTTCTGGTGCGCTCTCTTTGATCAATAGGCTTCATTATAAAACTATCTTCTGTTTGCACAACATTCATATCTTTGCCTGTCTCACATTCAGACCAAGTCTGGTAATAAAGCATGAACAAACAAAATAGAGGAATGAAAACAACACACACAAACAATGTTTCCCTACTTCACAGTAAACTTACCACTAAAGTTTGCTTGCAGCTAAAAGTTGACAACTCACTTCAATTACGAAACCCCTTGTAATGTTGGATGGGGGAACATGACTTGCTCCATCTATAATCCCAACAATGCATCGGTTTAAGTGGTCTGACAAAAATTTGACAAAAAAAGGTCTAGCAGAAAGAATAATATGGAAAATGAACAATTAATGCACATGCTTAACAATCCAATAGAGAAAGTATGATTAGGTATTCATTTGATCTAAAGTACCAGCCAAGGATACTCTACCAGCCAAGCATACTCTTCCCTTAGACATCACATTTGTGAGACATACATACGCGGTTTTGTATGATTGAGGATCACACAAGTTTCAATTTACATCAAGGGCAAAAAATAAAATCCAAAAAAAAGGCATCTCAAAATTTGCTTTAGACCCTCAAAGAAAAATGCATTTAACAACATGTGTGGTTTCCTATTGTCAAGGACCATGCACGTTGTTAAATCCCCTGTTGTTAAAAGGTATTATCATTCAGCAATGTGCATCACGTTCTGTCTAATAGAGGAGTTTACATGCACTTGTTGTATACCTTTTGGCAAATTCTATGCCATGCTGCCGCGAGTTATCTTTTGTAAAAAAATATCCAAACCAATAATTCTCCCATATTGAAAGACATGGTTCATACACAATTCCAACTTGATAGTAATACCAAGTATTTTTAATCATCGGGTACATTAAGTAATTATAAATTTATAATAATATTAATGCAAAATCCATGAAACAAATTTTAGTTGGTATCTACTGCAAAAAAGAAAATCTTTCTCCCCTACATTGACAGTAAATAACTACACATTGATGCTGACACCAGCAGCATCTGCAATCTTTGGCCAAAGATCATAATACAGCTTCCCAATTGGATCAACAAAAGCAAACAAGATATCTAGAGCCATATCTAGTAAAAAAAAGGATAAATGTTAACAAAAAGCAATATCAAAACCACTTCTCTAGTACATGATTTTGTACTTGCAAACAGTTAGACAAATGACCACAGGTGAGGGGTTTTCTAATAACGTGATGTCCTTCAGTATCCGATTTCTACAAGTTGGTGTCCTTCGCTATCAATTAGTTAGGATCCAAATAAACTGTTTTCTAATAAAGACCAACAAAGTACCACATCAAATTGAATACTTTAACTTGGTGCGATGTAGTTTTACTAAAGCAAATAGAAAAACCAGTAAAATGAACACTTGAGCAGTAAAATGAACTGCTTTTACTACAGAAAGTTTACAGAGCTACTTGGCCACACAAGATACTCCATCTATCTTGTGTTGGAAACCTACAAGAAAATTGTATTTGCAATCAATAACAAAATTCAAAACTTGGTAGTTGCATTTAGTTATCTCATAAAAGCAAATAATCTCGAAAATCGCAAGACTATTAGGTGTTCAACATGAGTTTAAAAAGACCTACAAAGCATACTAGATCAATAACAACGTCCATTTTCAGTATTATGCTAGCCCTCCACAATTATATAACATTACTATACTAAGTTACTATCAACTCCTTGTGTCGGCAAAAACTAATCAACTGAATCGCTAACGATCATCCAAACATTGACATCACATGTCTTTCTCGTAATCAGTTTCCATAAAATCAAACCCTAAAAGTATAGAACTAAACAAAACATCTTATTGTAAAGGCAGACAACATCAAACCCTAATCAGTTCGGGAGTTATTACCTGAGCTATTTTGGCGAGCTTCAGAGAAACAAATCGACTACAGCCTCCTCAATTCGGGCTTCCAACAACCGCTCAGAATAACGAGAAACAGGCAGGAGACAACCAAGGAGGCAGACGAGATGGAAGCAGACAGAGATACAGAGAGAGGAACATATCCCTAATGAAATTCAACTAGCCAAATGGAGTTTCTGAATTCAAATAAACAAACAGGAAGTGAAATTCAAATAACAAATCAAAGCTCTGATAAAAAATAAATAAATAAATAAATAAAAAGCTCAGTAACCAAATTAAAACACACAGAGAAACTTCACAAAATTTAGCAACTGAATTAGGGATTTCCACTGAGATTGGGTAACAATGTGAAGAACCATATGAAAATATGGAGATTTAAACTATAATTTAAAAGCAAAATTCAAATTTGAAACAGTAAATTACTCACCTGAGAGTCGGGAACATCGCTCATGGGGAGAAAGCCCGAAATGAAAACCCTAACCCTATAAAATTACAGCTCGAAAGAACCAGAGGAAAGAATTGGAAACCCTAACCCTTAGCACGATTGTTGTTGAGGGCGAGGCTATAGCGGTTAGAACGAGAGGAGACAAAGACAGTCTGAGAATGGCGAGGAGGGGAGGGCCGACGAGATAAATATTGTAACGTGTCTACCAGCGAGTGTTACGGTTGCATAGGTTCGATTTCCATTACTGTTAAATATTGTACTTCTAATGTTATAATCTCGGGTCTTGTTTACAAGTATTTTTAAAATGATTGAAAATGAGTTTGATGAAATATTTTAAGGTTTTTTTTTTTAAGAAAAAACTTTAACTGATTTTCTATGATTTACTTGCATTTTAATTAAGGAATTGGTTTGAAAAACATTACCATCAAAAGCAACTTCAGTTATTTTAAAAACACTTCCAAACAATCCTTAATTGATATCAAATTGTTTGGAAATGTTTTGAAAATAACTAAAAACATTTCAAATCATTAAAAGTGCTTTTGACAGCGTTTGACAGAAAAATTTAAAAGTACTTCTAGGTTGAAAAAAACACTTGAAATATTTTCTAGAAGAAGCACCTGAAGTACTTTCTAGAAGAAACATTGGAAGTGTTTTCTAGAAGAAGCACCTGATGCACTTCTTCAAGTACTTTTCTATAGGATTTGCATTTTATCTTAAAAATTATGATGTACTCCAAATAGAAGGAATGAGGATACTCTCCGAATTGTCTTTGTACCCGAAGATCATTTAATCATGTATGTTTATCGTATATCATGTGATCAGAAATTATTTAAAATTATTTTATTTAAAATTGAACACAAACACTATCCGATGAAAACTGATCACACAATATACGATGAATGAACACGATTAAAAAAATCTTTAAAATCAACATAAAAAGAATCTGAATAGGATTCTTATTCAAATAGAAGTGCTTTGACATGAAATCGCTTCTGATAAAAAAATGCTTTTAAAAAAAGCATTTCAAAACGGGTATGCCTACACATGTTTTTCAAGAAGCATTTGCAAGCGGGTTATGCTACCCACGTTTTATCATTTCTCATCTACCGGAAAAAAAATAATAATAAAAAAAATTTGAAAACTTTGAGTTTTAATCAAAAGAACAAAAAAGTGTTGCAAGTAAATAATATTATGAGTGATTTTTTAGAATGAAAATGTTCTTAATGATAAAAGGAAACAGTACCAACATTAAGACTCCCATTAAAAAATGGAGAATGCTAAATCTCTCTCGTTTTCCTTTTCATTTTGGGATGCTATCTACACATCTCATTTTACTTCTTACACACTTCTTGTTAATTTCTATCCGTTGATTTTCTTCAATTCATCCGATTCCACAGCTGAAAATTAGAAGGACGTATGAAAAGTAAAACGGGATGTGTGAATATCACACCCCTTCATTTTTTTGTCTTCCCAACTTATCAATTGACATGTAAAATTTTTGGGTTAATCTCAATTTACTACTTTAAAATTTCTTGATTTTCAACATTTCATACATCAAGTTTTTTTCGTTCCAAAGTGGTATCTAAAGTCATAATTGTGAGATAAAATCATAATTCCGTTAAGTTGTTTGTTAAAATAGGTGTTAATCTGTGATATGATGACCACATGAACCGTAACTAGGCGCCACGTAGAAATTAAAAAATTGAATAAAATTTAAAAATTATAAAAAAAAAAATTAAAAATTGAAGTCGTCGTCCCGAGCCTGGCAGTCCTCCCATCTTTCCTATCCTTTCTTCTTCTTCTGTTGTTCATGTTTTTCAAATATTAAACTGCAAAAAAATTGTAGAAAATCAACACACCAATTAATCCAGGAACCTACATCCCATAAATCAAACCATGTTTGATATAAACTCAAATTCGTCATAAAAAAAATCGTGGCCAAATTTGTCGACCAGTCGTCGCCTCCATGTCTCGGCCATCTTCGAAATCAACAATCGGTACCTCAATCGGGCTCCGGCGAAGTTTTCTCCCTCCTCACCCATCAAAACCAACCCTCCCCTGTGTCACAACACTTCCAGCCTCAGCCGCCACCAAATCTTCTCTCTCTCTCTCTCCTATCTCCCTCACACAATCTCAGCCCCTCACTCTAAAACTCAAACCACCATAATGGCAGCGTCCCTCACAATCTCAAGGCTCCTCAGAGCCCCCAAATCCCTTGTTTTCTCCACCATCACAACCGCTGTCGCACCCAAAACAGCTCTCTTATCACCCAAATCCTTCTCCTCCAAAATCTCCCACACTCCCCTCACCCAAAACCCCTCCTCCGCTTCTCCATCGCCCCCTTCAAATCCATCTCTGCCACCATCGCCGTCTGCGACAAGCGACCCTCTCCTACCTCGATGCGAGCTTCGTGATCGGCTACGAGGTGTTGCTGCTGTCCGATGGGAATGGAGATTTCACAAGGGCGATCGACGACTTCACGACGGGGCTGTTGTAGGGTTTCGAAGGAAATCTGGGATTGGGTTTTTTTTGGGCATGGATTCTGCTAAAATATTTTTTAGCTTTTAGGTTTTTAAATTTTAAACTTCTAAATTTTTAAAAAATTTTAATTTCTACGTAGCGTCCAGTCACTATCCACATAATCGCCACGTCACAAGTTAACACCCGTTTTAACAAACAACTTAACAGACGTATGAAATTGTCCCAAAATTATGACTTTAGGTACAAAAAAAAGTTGATATACAAAATGTTGAAAACCAAAAAACTTCAGGGTAGTAAACTAAGATTAACCCAAAATTTTTTTACACATTAAACTCAAAAAATTACAAATTACAAATTACAAAAATTCTGTCTAAATTACAAATTACAAAAACTGTCTTTCTATGTGATAAAATATGACAAGTCCATACCGACAAGAATTTTTTTCATTGCAACCAAAATATTTTGGAAAGTGACTACTACTGATTAACACCATTTCTCCAAATCAATGCTTCTTCCAACGATTGAACCGCTGGAACCACATTTGATTCGAGAGAAATCAAGGCCGAATGTTGATATACATTCGATACAGGATCTACAATAATTCATTCAAACAAATCTTTCTTTTAGGATTGAAAACAGACAATCTAGTGACTGAGGCAGCTAACTGCCAATGCCAATATGCACAACGGATAGCAATACAACAACAAAACCTTATCCCAGGGATCGGCACACAACAGATAGCAACTTAAAAGAAAATTGTCACCACCAGCGACAGAAGCTACCACAACAAAATGCGTTATTGTTACTGAAAGAGCATGTCAATTCACATTTCTTGAAACTTGTTAAGCATACAACGAAGATCAAAGGCATGCCCGTCGTTATGACGTGGTAGCACTGCATAAAAGAAGCGACATTCGTCCAAACCAAGAAAGAAAAACACGCAGACATTGAAATCCCATCAATCCTCACAGATGAAACATCTGGTCAAATTCTCTATATGATTCATTAACAGTTATCATACATTATAATGAGTTTGACCACTTACCTGGTTTTCTAACTCAATAGGTAACAAGGTTCGAGATTGTTTCTGTCATTCCTAGGCTTCCGAATATTTAACCCAATAATCAACTTAGACTCTGCGCTTCCTGTTTCCTCGTCCCTTATACACCAGTAAGAGCATAACTTGAAAATTCAGACATGAAACCCATAAAGTACCATACCATACAAATGGAATAGTTAGGACTCCTCGGCCATCTGCCTTAGATTTTCTTCTTTCTTGCATCAGCTTTCCAATCTCTTCGACCAAAGTTAGATACATGCATTTCGCAGTTATTCTGGTTCACAATCATCTCAGACCGGGATTCACTATCTAATTGTAGCTCTGCCATGGGTCCAGACAAAAACACGCTTTGACCCTCACTGATTGACGTAAGAGTAGGGATGGCATAACCATTATGGGTAAATTCAGGGGCCTTAAAAGCATGAGCACTCCTTGCATCCTTTTTCCAATCTCGTTTACAGTACACACGGGGTGTGTAAATGAACTCATTTCGTTGCACTTCTACTTCTGGTGTAGTTGGTTGCTTTATGATGCTAGATTTCTTCAAATCTGCTTCAAGACGCTTACGGGCCCTATACCTACGCTGTCGTTCTCTGTTCTTCATGCGACTTGTCTGAATATCATTACGGTTTCTGGTGCGCTCTCTTTGATCAATAGGCTTCATTATAAAACTATCTTCTGTTTGCGCAACGTTCATATCTTTGCCTGTCTCACATTCTGACCAAGTTTAGTATAAAGCATGAACCAAAAAAACAGAGGAATGAAAACAACACTCACAAACAATGTTTCCCTACTTTACAGTAAACTTACCACTAAAGTTTGCTTGCAGCTAAAAGTTGACAACTCACTTCAATTACAAAACCCCTTGAAATGTTGGATGGGGGAACATGACTTGCTCGATCTATAATCCCAACAATGCATTGCTTTAAGTGGTCTGACAAAACAGGTCTAGCAGAAAAAAAAAATGGAAAAATAACCAATTAATGCACATGCTTAACAAAACAATAGACATCACATTTGCGAAACATACATACGCTGTTTTGTATGATTGAGGATCATGCAGGTTTCAATTTACATCAAAGGCAAACAAATCAATTCCGAACAAAGGGCATCTCAAAATTTGCTTTAGACCCTCAAGAAAAATGCATTTAACATGTGTGGTTTCCTATGATCGAGGATCATGCACGTTGTTAAATCCCCAGTTGTTAAAAGGTATTATCTTTCAACAATGTGCATCATGTGCTGTCTATGAGAAGTGTTTACACGAACTTGTTGTATAACTTTTGGCAAATTTCTATGTCATGCTGCCACTAGTTATCTTTTGTAAAAAAAATCAAAACCAATAATTCTCCCATATTGAAAGACATGTTTCATACACAATTCAACTTGACAGGTAACACCAAATATTTTTAATTGTTGGGTACATTATGTAATTATAAATTTATTAAAATATAATAAATTAATGCAAAATCCATGAAACCCAAATTTTAGTTCGTATCTGCTGTTAAAAAAAATAAAAAATAAAAAAAATCTTTCTGCCCGACATTGAGATTGACTAACTACACATAGATGATGACACCAGCAACATCTGCAATCTGCAATCTTTGGCCAAAGATCATAATACAGCTTCCCAATTGGATCAACAAAAGCAAACAAGATATCTAGAGCCATATCTAGTAAAAAAAAAAAAGAATAAATATTAACAAAAAGCAGTATCAAAACCACTGCTCTAGTACATGATTTTGTACATGCAAACAGTTAGACAAAAGACCACAGGCGAAGGGTTCCTTCAGTATCTGATTTCTACAAGTTGATGTCCTTCACTATCAATTAGTTAGGATCCAAATAAATTGTTTTCTGATAAAACAAACAAATTACCACATCAAATTGAATACTTTGACTTGGTGCGATATAGTTTTACTAAAGCAAATAGAAAAACCAATAAAGATAAACTAGGAAAATTAACTGCTTTTACCACAGAAAGTTTACAGAGCTACTTGGCCACACAAGAATACTCCATCAATCTTGTGCGGGAAACCTACGAGAAAATTGTATTGAAAATCAATAACAAAGCATACCAGATCAATAACAACTTCCATTTTCAGTGTTTTGCTAGCCCTCCAACATTTTATATAAAATCACTGTATTACTATCCACTCCTTGTGTCAGCAAAAACTAATCAACTGAATCACTAACGATCATCCAAACATTGACATCACATGTCATTCTAATAACAGAATATGACATTATGTGTTTTCTGTTCCATGTTCTGATCAAACCCTATAAGTATAGAACAAAAATGTACAACAAAACACCTTATAGTAAAGGCACACAATATCAAACCCTAATCAGTTCGGGAGCTATTACCTGAGCTGTTTTGGCGAGCTTCAGAGAAACAAATCGACTACAGCCTCCTCGATTCGGGCTTCCAACGGCCGCTCAGAATGGCTAGAAACAGGCATGAGAGAACCAAGGAGAGAGACAAGATGGAAACAGAGAGAGGAACAAATCCCTAATGAAATTCAACTAGCCAAAATGGAGTTTCTGAATACAAATAAAGAAACAGAAAGTGAAATTCAAACAACAAATCAAAGCTCTGATAACAAAACTCAGTAACCAAATTAAAACACACAGAGAAACTTCACCAAAATTTAGCAATTGAATTATGGATTTCCAATGAGATTCGGTAACAATGTGAAGAACGATATAAAAATATAGAGATTTACATTATAATTTAAAAGCAAAATTCAAATTCGAAACAGTGAATTACTCACCTAAGAGTCGGGAAAATCGCTCACGGAGAGAAAGCCCGAAACGAAAACCCTAACCCTATAAAATTACAGAATTGGAAAGAGGCTTGTTGGAAGAATCGGAGTAAAGAACTGGAAACCCTAACCCTTAGCACGATTGTTGTTGTGGGCGACGCTATAGAAGAAGAGAAGGAGATAAAGACAGTCCGAGAAACGCTAAGAGGGAGGGCCGACGAGATGAAGGGGTTTATACAACCCTAATTTTCTCTCTGACAAGTTAATTTACCAAACAATCACTACTACACATTTCACCAGCACAATATAAAAGTGCTTCCGCTAGCTTTTAGCAGAAAATTTCAAAAGCGCTTCTGACAGAAAAATTTAAAAGTGCTTCTAGGTTGAAAGAATTATTTGAAGTGCTTTCTATAATAAACATATAATGGGTTAGGTTGTTGTGTTGTGAAAAAAAAAATGTGGTTTTCAGAAGTAAGGTAGAGCTACTTCTGCTTTCTGTTGTTTTGGACCCATGATTTTGACAAAAACCACTTCTTCTTTTTTTCATGTACCAAACACAATTTTAGTTTTAGCTTTTCTAAAAACTGCTTTCAAAATAGTTTCAGTAATGCCAAACCAACCCTCTTTCATGAAACACTTCAAGTGTTTTCTTCTGAAGCATTTGCATTTTATCTTTCGATGTACTCTAAATAAAAGTACTTTGACATGAAAGCGCTTTTGATAAAAAAATAAAATTTAAGGAAGCATTTCCTAACAGGTATGCCTACACACATGTTTTATCCTTCCACCTACTAAAAATGGAGAATGCTAATCATCTCTTTTTTTATAAGGAGGATTCTCTACCCTCCTAATCTCTTTACCCTTCCATACCCTCTTATTTGAACTAGGGGTGGTTCGGTATGGGATACCATACCGAAACTAGTATCCCGAATCTCAAATCGAAATTTTTCGGGACGGGAATTTGAAGACCAATCCCAAACCAAATTTTCGGGAATCCCAAATTGAAATATGAAATTATGAATTGTTCTTCAAATATATAATTCAAGAACACATTTATGAACTAGGAATTTCATTTCATTCACACTACCATTTAATTGAACATTGGCATGCTTGACTCTTTTTATCATAGTCAAAATTCAAATTAATTAAACTCTTTTTGCAATCTGTTGAGAGACAAAAGAATCAAGCCTTCTGAAATCATCAGCCATGGCAGCAGCAATAATAAAATTCACATGAATATCAAACAGAACATGAAAAATATGCAAGGTGTAGGGCATTCTAGGTTGCTGAGCATGAATTAGAAACTACTAGCATCAATTATAAAAGAATAATATATATATATGTATGTATAAATATATATAATAATTAATATTATATATTTTCGGTTTGGTATGGGATTCCCGAAATATCGAGAAGCCAATCCCGAATCCCATACCGAAATTTTGGGATTGGTTCGGGATAGCATCCCGAAAATTTCGGGAATTTCGGTTTGGGAAATTTTTTATTTGGGATCGGGATTTTCGGGAATTTTTTCCACCCCTAATTTGAACGGTCACGGTTAAGCCACGTTAATATCTTATATTGATTTTTTTATAGAAATAATAAAACAAAAAATAATGTGTAAGAATAAGGGATGGAAAGGAATGGGAATAAGACCCTCTCTTTTTCCTTTCCATTTTTGTCTCATCAATTGACACGTAAAATTGTTTTACACATTAAACTAAAATTTTTGAAATTACAAATTTTATTTTTCTAATTAACACTATTTGCTTATCCTAATAAAATGGTTGCAATAGAAGTCATATTGCAGTTCTATGGAATGAAAGAGTAGCATCTTTTTCTCTTTTTGAAATATGAAAGAGATGCAATATGTCAGCCTTGTTTATCAGATGAATTTCTAAATTTGCACTAGCATTTGTTCGTTAGATATCTCGCAAATATTATGGTGAGAGTCATGGTTAGACAATGAATTCAACATCGATTGGTGATAATAGGATGTGAGTAAGGGATGGACAATGGTTATGACGGACGGGTAATCGCGGTTATTTACTCATAATCGTTTAATATTTTACCTGTATAACCGTTTACCCGTAGGGTAATTGCATAAACTGGTATACTCATACTCATAACCGTTTATAAACAATTAACCATACATATAACTGCGTACCTATTTAACCGTAACTGCATATACTTGTTTACCTGTTTTTTAACCATTCATAATTTTCATTTTTTGACAATTAAACATTACAACGAATCGATGAGATTTTTCTTAGTGGCCCAGCGCCTAAACATCAAACATTAATTTATAACCGTATTAGAATTTGGAAATTAATTAACAACACCATCCATGCACATGATCATGAAACATTGATTTATAACCGTGATTAGCAAGACGAAGAAAACACTATTCAGACACCACTAAACTTGAGACTGTCACTGAAATTAATAGACCAAGAGGCCCAGCATGCTGCATCCCTTCCAACCAACATATGTTTAGCATGCAATGCATGATAAATAAACTCAGAACTCAGAATTAGTAAGATATTTCCGACCTAAAAATGTATTAATTTAGGGTTTTTTTTTATTTTACATATATTAAAATAAACTGTTAAATGGGTACCCGTTTATAACTGCGGGTAATACCTATAACTGTCTATTTAAATTTCACGAGTAAACGGTTATACCCATAACTGTTTATTCATCTAAACGGTTACCAATAACCATAACCGTGAATTCTAAATAGACGGGTAACCGTGGTTACCCATACCCATGGGTATTTTGCCTATCCCTAAGTGTGACCCTAGTTAAATTATGTAAGTGATGGCAAGACTTGTATAAATTAATGAATTTGACTTCAAATATGAACAACGAAAAGAAGTGTAGTTCTTAGTCAAATTCATAATATAGCATTAACTCGGTTACCCATACCTATGGGTATTTTGCCTATCCCTAAATGCGACCCTAGTTAAATTATGCGAGTGATGGCAAGACTTGTATAAATTAATGAATTTGACTTCAAATATGAACAACGAAAAGAAGTGTAGTTCTTAGTCAAATTCATAATATAGCATTAACTCGGTTACCCATACCTATGGGTATTTTGCCTATCCCTAAATGCGACCCTAGTTAAATTATGCGAGTGATGGCAAGACTTGTATAAATTAATGAATTTGACTTCAAATATGAACAACGAAAAGAAGTGTTGTTCTTAGTCAAATTCATAATATAGCATTAACTTATTTCTGATGAGTTACTTTCGTTTAATAATATAACACCGCCCGGAGCTTCTCGTCTAATGCCATGGAGGACGGCCAATTCGTGACAGAGGTGTTTTAGTCATGGAGAATGCGAGTTGGATTTGAGGCCCGATTTGGTGGGAAAGCAGTGCCCCCATGCGGGCTTGACCCCCAATGACAAGCGCCAAGGCAGGGTTTTGATAGTTTTCTTGAACTAAGAGGGTTGGTTCGATGACGTTTATTCTCTCCTCTCGAGAAGACGAAGATGAAAGAGAGAGAGAATTGAAAAGGAAGGTGCGAGAAGAGGAGAGAATATATATATATATATATATATATTTTTTTTTTTTTAAGAAATAATATTATCTATATAAAAAAGAGGATGTGAGCTTACTTTTATATATATATATATATATATATATATATATATATATATATTTGAATATACACTTATCTTTCTCCTACCATTGAAATCTAATGGTGATTAACCAAGCTTTTCCGTGCACCACAGAGAATAGGAGAACAAGACTGTTCAATCAACATTAAATCAAAGAAAAACTAATTAAAATGACATGAAAACTTTGAATTTTAACGAAAATGACAAAATAAAGAGTAAAGTGGATAGTATCAGGATTGACTTTTTAGTGTAAAAATATGGTTTTTCTTTAAAATGAACAGTACCAAGAACTTTTTGTTAAAATTCCTTAAAATCAATTATTTGGTCAACGAAATAAAATTATTTATTATTGTGACTTTTAGACATTACTTATCATATAATAGAATACTAAAAGCATGTAAAAACATGATATGGTTAGCATTATTAATGTTTAATCAACACATAAAATAGGACGTAAACATGTTCACAAATTAGTCTGTCGATATTTTTCATATCCTACGATATTGTACTATACAAAACATACACTTAATATATTCCATTCGTATACTATATTGTATCATACCATCACCTAACTTGTCAATTCATCCAGCATTTCAAATGCGTTCCAATCTCATTTCTCCTCAACTCAACCTCAAATGACATGTAGACGTTGACTTTGCTCTTAAACCGACAGTATTAGTAGCGAGTTCAATGTGAAATGCTCTAACATTATCTCAATGGTACGCAGTGGCGGTGTTTGGAGGGGAGCGAAGTGTTTGGCCGCGTAAGGCGCCAAAATTTAAGGGGCCCTAAAAAAAAGTTGGTATCTAACATATATAGCAGCACTATATCTGAATGTTTTTATACTACATTTCTATACTATCTTAGATGGCATCTAATGTGGATAGCCACATCATTTGAAAAATTTGCAAAACCCAAGAAAATGAAGGAGAAAAACTTCTTGTATACCACAATCATCATTTAATTAACTAGTTTTTCTTAATTATTAGTTTATTAAATATTGAACTAAATTTAAAAATCTGATTAATTCAAATGATGTGGCTGTCCAAATCAAATGCTACCTAAGGTGGTATGAAAATGTGGTACAAAAACATGGTATGAATATCATTACTCTTAAGAAATTAAGGGTAAGAGTACTCATATTCATACCATATTTTTATATGTGGACAGCCACATCATTTGAAAAATTTGCAAGACCTAATGAAATGCATGAGAAAGACTCTTTCTATGCCACGATCATTATTTAATTAATTAGTTTTTCTTAATTATTAGTTTATTAAATAATGAACTAAATTAAAAAATTTGATTAATTCAAGTGAAGTGGTTGTCCATATCAAATATCACCTAAAATGATATGAAAATGTGGTACAAAAACATAATATAAATAATATTACTCTAGTTAAAAAACAAAAAAAATAAAATAAAATGAAACTCAAGTGGGACCTATGATTACCACTATTCAACCTTCTCATTTTTTCAGAAAACAAAAAACAAAACAAATCTTTCCCACTTTTCTGATTTTTCTAACAACTTAATAATACTATTTAATTGATGATCAATAAAGAATGCACGAAAAATCATCTTTAAGTTTGACTTTTTAAGGTTAAATTCATTGTTGATTATTTAGTAATGATTATTTTTGTAGTCTCTTTTACTTATTATGTAATGATA